AAGTACGGAAATATTATAAGAGATTTTACTTTCAATAGATTGGATGTGAAACTTCTATGACAAGGTTTCATCAAGAATTACGCCTAAAAAGTTAACAGTAGATTCCCTTTTTACATCTGTTTTATTGAATAAAAGATTTGGCAGTTTAATTGGAATATTATCAACTTTATTTGGTTTGTGGAACAGAATGAATTTAGTTTTATCTACATTTAGTGAAAGGCGGTTACTTATAAACCATTCATTTACTTTAGATAACTCTTCATTAAAAATTTTAAAAAGAATTTTTATATCTCTGTGTGAATAAAACAGATTGGAGTCGTCAGAAAACAATATAAGATATAATTTTTTAGATGCTAAAAATAAGTCATTTATATACACTAGAAACAATAATGGTCCTAAGATAGATCCTATAGGAACCCCGCAACTTATAAGTTTTTTTTGGGTTTCATTTTGTTTCATTTGGTTATGCCTTGTTTTCTGTTAGTCAAGTAGTTTTTAAACCAAAGTAAGTTTAAGTTGTTTACTTCATAAAGTTCTAATTTTTTTAAAAGGATTTCATGATTGACAGTGTCAAATGCTTTGGATAAATCAATGAAAACTCCTAAAGAAAAATAATCTTTATCAAAAGCATCCGATATATGGTTTACAAGCTCAACTATCGCGTGATCCGTAGAATGATTTTTTTTAAACCCAAATTGTTTGCTGTACAGAATATTATTTGATACTAAATGATTATAAAGCCTATTGTACAAAATGCGTTCTAGCAATTTAGAGAAACAAGGTAATACAGAAATAGATCTGTAGTTTGAAACATTTGTTTTTTCACCTGACTTAAAAATTGGTGTGATTTTGGCTATTTTAAGTTTGTCTGGTACAATACCAGACGTTAATGAGAGATTAAAAATATGAAACAATAAGGGTTCAATAATATCAAAGACTGATTTAACAACATTGACGCTAATTTTATCATTTCCTGCACTTTTGTTATTTTTCATAGAGGAAAAAGCATTATGCAACTCACTTATATTTAAATTTAGTTCTGTCATAACATTATTTGCTGTTTTTAGGTAAGTTTTAAATTTTATGGTACTAGATGGAATTTTAGCCGCTAGATTTGGACCGATCTCAAGAAAAAAACTGTTTAGCTTGTCATCTATGGTTTCTTTATCATAAAAAAATGAATTTTTTTAATCTTTGTATCCAGATAAGTTTGTTTCGTTTCGTTTCATTTAAATACTTGATATAAAGCTTTTGCTTTGTTTTCAATGATTTCCTGATTTCATTAGTGATCCAAGTGGCAGTTCAAAATTTTAAGTTTTATTTCTTTTTCTTCGATAGGAAAATGCTTATTGTAGCGTTTTAGAAAAATATCTATGAAAGTATTATATGTGGAATTCGTGTTTTCTAAAGTTGCATTCTTGCCCCAATATACTGCCAACAGTAAGTCTTTCAGATTTTAAATAGGATTTTTTTTTTACAAATTTTAGCTTTCGAATTGTTAGCTTGTATTTTAATTTTTTATTTTATTTTAAATTTTGTCAGTATATTATCTATAACAGAAACGGAGATAGGGTCTTTTCGGGTGGGTTTGTTGATGATTGGAAGAATACATATCTGGAACATATTGTCAAAAAACTTTAGTAAGGGATTGTCCATAAACTACGTAACGCGAAATTTAACTAATAGACAAAAGAAAAAAGTGTTAAAAGTTTTCCCTCACAGAATTAATCCATTTTTTTAAATTAGTTTAATTATTCCATGTATAAATAAGCCTTCAAGTCCAGCGAAAGCCACCGCTCAAAAGACCAAAATGTTCTCCTACTTATATTTTTAAAATAAGCTTTGCGTTGCGTAATTTATGGACGATCCCTAATCGCATGTTCAATTTAGTTTATGTTTAGGTTCCCAATACAGAAATTTTCAGTATTTTGAAACAAAAACGTTTAAAATTGAACTTGAAACTCTAAGATACAATTTTACTGCGATACCCATAAATATTAAAAGTATAATTAAAAACCTTGTAAAAAAGATTTTCTGCAGATGATCTCCGTTTCTGTTATAGATAATATACTGACAAATTTAAAAAAAAAAAAATTAAAATAAAAATTAACAATTCGAAAGCTAAAATTTGTAAAAGAAAAATCTTATTTAAAATCTGAAAGACTTAATGTTGGCAGTATATTGGGGCAAGAATGCAACCTTGGAAACACGAATTCCGCATATAATACTTTTATAGATATTTTTCTAAAACGCTACAATAAGCATTTTCCTATCGAAGAAAAAAAGAAATAAAACTTAAAAATTTGAAATGCCACATGGATCACTAATGAAATCAGAAAATCATTAAAAACAAAGCAAAAGCTTTATATCAAGTATTTAAATGAAACGAAACGAAACAAACTTATCTGGATACAAAGATTAAAAAATTCATTTGAAAAAATTAGAAAAAATTAGTAAAAATTAGTTACTCAAAACAGTTTCAAAAAAGTAATAAAATAATAATAAAAAACTACTCAAAACAGTTTCAAAAAAGTAATAAAATAATAATAATAAAAAAAAAGCATTTAGAAAGAAATAATTGGGAAAAACTATACAAAGCCGAATATTCTGCTAGATAGCACTGCAAATAAAACTCGCTGAAAATAAATAAGGCACCAGGTATTGACGAGATTTGTAGCAAGTTAGTTACAATTTATAACTACAAACTGGGAAAACATTTATAATATAAATGTTTTCCCAATGATTAAAAAAAAAAAACGTCTTTGAAATATTTAAATCTTCAATTATTACTGGATTTTCCGGATAAATTCCGGTTAAGTTAAAAGTTCCGGATAAATCAAAAATAACAAAAGTTATACCAATATTAAAAACCGGGGATTTATTTACACTAAATAACTACAGTTCCGTCTCAATTCTTTCTATCTTTTCAAAAGTTTTAAAACAAGTAATTTATAATAAATTATATAAATTTAAAACAAAAATCTTATTTAAACAACAATTCGGTTTCTAAAAGCAACACTCAAGCGAACAGGCAATTCTAGATCTTGTAAATAGATCTTCTAGGCAATTCTAGATCTTGTAAAAACATAAATGACTATTGAAAATAAAAAATTTGTACTTGGAATCTTTGTTGACTCATCTAAAGCGGCCGTGGCGCAGTGGTTACAGCGCTTGCTCAAAAGCATGCTGCACGAATCGTTTATAATAAAGATAAATTCTCACATATTTTTTTCACATGATAAACTCTCACATACTTTTAAAAAATTTTAAAACGTTAAATGTCTATTAAATTAACATATTTCAAAACTTGTTGTTTATGATAAAATTCGAACTTGGTCTTCTTCCACTGCAATTCTCAAAAAATGTTACTTATAATAGCAAAAACATTAGAGGAGAAAAAAAATTTGAATAACCATTTTAAAAGACAAATATTTCTTGCTTCTCTATTTCATATCGTGGTCCTTATCTTATTATTTATGCTTATGTGAAACAATATATTATGTGATCCAACATAGTAAATCATGTACTAACATATTTATATGTATCTAAATGCTTATTTAAGATTAGAAATATTTTTTTTGAATCTTTTTTATTTTTCTTGAATTTTTTTTAATTCTTATGCTATCCAAACTGACAATAAACTGAGGATATTATTTACTTAATAAATATGAATTTATTGATACTATAAGATAATATACAAAATATATGTAATAATGTAGAGTGGTTTCTTGATGATAAGACCATTGGTCTTCTGCGTTCTTCAAATAATGACTCGTTACCATATATTTTTTGTATATTACAACATTTGCGGATTTTTATTATATGTTATACTTTGTTAACGATTTCATTATAAATATAAAAAAATTTGTATTGATTATATTTAATTGATTTTTGATTAAATTTAATCAATACAAATATGTCATATTTACAATTAAGTCGTTAACAAAGTATAGCTTATTTTTATATTATATATATATATATATATATATATAAATATATATATATATATATATATATATATATATATATATATATATATATATATATATATATATATATATATATATATATATATATATATATATATATATATATATATATATATATATATATATATATATATATATATATATATATATGATTATATATTATATAAGGATGATTCAAAACGGCATTTACTGAACATAGAATTCGATATATTAGATTTCAAATACCTTTTTTGAAAACAATTTAAAGGTTTAAACTAAATCACTTAAAAATAAATTAAATCTTTATCACTTTCTTTGGCTTTTGTTAAAATGGTTTCAAACCATTAGTATAAAAGATAACTATTTTTGATGATATTAAATAATCAGCCCAAATACTTATGTTTACATATATTGCTTTTTTTTTTTTTTAATTAAACAATGCATTTTTTTTTGTGTTTTTATAACTTTCATGATTTTCTGTCGTTTTTACTTTTTTATTTTATTTAAAATTATTCTGCTGGAAGATTGTTAGCAACAAATTATTTTATTGCTGAAGTTTTTGATTTGTTTTTGTTTTTGTATTTATACTTTCTTTTTGTCTTTTATCGTGTAAATTTTTGTGTGACGGGGCTCGGTGATAAGACAACCTGTCTTCTTCTTCCTCCGGTCAGGATTTTCTTTTATTGTATATATATATATATATAATATATATATATATATATATATATATATATATATATATATATATATATATATATATATATATATATATATATATATATATATATATTTATCTACGCGCTGCTAAATTTTAAATTTTAAAAACAGAAGTAGGAGATCTAAAGCTCTTTTACGCGATTTTCAATGGGCTTCTTTGATTTTTTATTTAACTTAAGGCTCTGCGAGGAAAAAACTTTAGATCGTTTTTTGTTTTGTTTATTAGTGAAATTTAGCGTTGCATAATTTACTTAGTTACAAACATGTAAACGGACATGTTAACTTGCGACTATAGTGTGTCAGATAAATAAAAACATCTGGCGTTAATTTTCAATGTAAAAACATACAATTTCATCGTTCGTAAAATACAAAACACTTTAAAAAAATTTTGATTTTCGTTTAAATGAAGCTAAAGCGAATGTTTCTTTTAACATCTATCTTTTTTTTAATAACTATTTTATATTTCAATCAACACATAAATTTAGAATTATCTTCACATAAAATTGTTGTAAATTTTTCCTCATGCACAAACACTTTTGATATTAGTGATGGAAAATGGATTTTTCGTAACAACTTGAAAACTGAAGATTTGAACGAAAGGACACGCTTGGATGAAGAAATACGTTTAAGTATGAACTGGCCAAAGTTATTGTTCAGAAATGACTCAAGGTACGCGTTAATATAAAAGTAAACATTACAACATAAGTACATGTTACATAACTTGGGATGCTATGAATTAAAGTCGCAAAAAATTTTAAAGAATCAAAGTGCTAAATGAAAATGCATATTTTAGATGTGGTGCTCAATTTCCATTATACAATTATCAATTACTTGCTCAATGTAACCCTAATAGCAACAAGCCATGCTGTAACCAAGTATCCGGAGTATGTGGCCAAGGTGATGAGTATTGTAACTGTGATAATTGCACAGATTTTAGATCTGCAATTTCAGCAGAACTTGGTGTGTGGAAACCAAACGCATGTTATTTCAACTACCAATCATATAATGATACATGCAGTTTGTTTTTGAAGAAGGAAATAAGCATGTTGTTTGTCGGTAGCTTATCTTATCTTGTATCTTTATATTTATAGATTAAATCTGTTGTTTTTTTTGTGGTAAAGATGTCATATTCAGAAATGTTATGAATTAGATTTTAGTCTTCTTTTACTGCTGCTCCAAAAAAAAGGAAGAATGAGTAGCAAGTTTGACAAAACTATAGTTTTTAAATGACTAAATATCTTTTGATTAAATTTTAAATTTACCTATTTGTACCTTTTTTAAATAAAAATAACTTTTAATATCTTTTAGATACAAAATCTTATCCAGATGTTAAGGGGAAAGTTTAACTATTTAGTTTTTTTTTTGGTGCCACGCTTTTGGTTCAGCGCGACCTTTTAAAATTTTTTTGTTTTACGTTATTACGAATATGCATAACATTTATAATAACATTCCAGTAAGCTAATTAACAACCAAAAAATATGTTTAAATAGATAAAAAAGATTTCGTAATACATATAAAAACTTGAAAAATGCTTTTCAATGCTATTGTATTATTATCTTAATTACCATTATTTTTTGTTTAAATTTAATTGTTTAAACATTTTGCTGTCCATCGGCAAAAAAAAAGTGGCTAAATTTTTTTTTTTTTTAGGAGACTCTTTAATCCGACAAATTTATACAGTGATGCTAATGATATTAACTAATAACTACTTTAACGGAAGCATTCCTAGTTATGCTAGTGAAAAAGATAAATTTATGTGCACCGGGGAACATCAAGTTACTAATAAAGATTGTAGTGTAAGAGTTGTTGCTCAAAACAGTGCAGAGCTTCCTTTTCATGCTCTATGTAACGGAGCTAATGTAACAATCAAAATGATACAAGATTACAATCACAAACTAGCTCCCGAGGTTTACATAGCAATCAATAAAACAATATCTCAAGAAAACAATTGGATTATTGCAGGAGTTGGTTTACATTATCAGTTAAAATTCGAAAATTTGAAAAGTGTTTATTTAGATCCTTTGTGGGAATTATTAAGTTCTTCTTTAAACGCTTGGCCAAAATTGATTTGGTTTGATATTCACGGAATATTTGGCTTTTTACGCATGCGCACAGCAGCAATGAATGACGAAATTGTGACTTTCAATAAAAAGATTCAACAATATTGGGAACATAGAAATGTGACCGTTGTTAAAACTTTTAATTTTAGTCAAAACCTTCGAAGTTATGATGGCAGACATTATGGTGTAGGCTTTAACGAGCTAAAGGCTCAGTTGATACTGCACTTACTAAAAGATCAGCTATAAATCAAATATTTTCTATTATAAAATTTTTAAAAATATTTTTAAAGCATAAACTACAATATTATTTTTTTAATTTTAGAATGTATTTTTTTAATTTTCTTTCTAGATAATATAAAATTTTTTACGCTAATGATTTTTTTGTTTATATATTTATATAACTTGATACTTAAGAAGAAAAAAAAACCACATATGTTCATAAAACGTCCTATAAACATCTCATACGTTTATGAACGCCGTAAAATATCCAACATAAATTCTTTATAAAAAACTGATCATATCTTATTCAGTGTCTTTGAGTAATAACAATCACAGAGTTTGTAACTAAAAGTTTAAATTTTTTACAAAATTTAGATCATTAATTGCATAGTTACACGTCACGTATTTTCTCATCGTCGCCGCTAAAAATATCTCTTATCTCTCCTTTATGCCATGACATAACGTGGTTTCTTAAACCACGTCTTCTTCCAAAATGTTTTCCGCACAGTTTGCAATTATATTTAGAATCTTCTTCGCCGTGTAATTTAGCATGTTTTTTCATGTTGCTGGGGTCACTAAACCGCTTACCACATACGTTGCATAAAAGTGGCTTTTCACCGGAATGTGTTCTCATGTGTATTTTAAGCACGTATTTACGGCAATACGCTTTACCGCATAAATGACAAACAAAACTGCGTTTTTTTGCTGATTCTGAACTAATTTGCTTTATAGTTCCGGTTTTGGAAGTTGTCAACATAGAGTGCATGTTATCCGGTAATTGAAATTTCAATGTTTCAACCCGAGAGTTTGAAACTATTTGGCCCGAATCAAGTACATCATTACTAATGCTAGATGGGAGAATATATATTGGTTGGTAAATTACCTTTTTATTAACCAATTCATCGCATTTGTTGCTTTCGTGCTCGCGTTTATTTTTTTTCCCCGATAAAGTTAAACATTCGTCTATATATTTTGTATGCTTCTTATCATTAAAGTAGCTTTCAGCAGAGTGCTTATTTCCATCGTATTTTTCAATAAAATATTTTTGCTCTTCGTATTTCTTATCGAGTGATCTGCCGTTGATGCATTTGTTATCTAGATACTTTGGAAATTGTTTTAAAAGAATCTTATTGCATTCTTCTAACCTCCTGTTGCTACTTTTGGGAGACTTTTTTAAATAAGCATTTAAAGTATTTTCATCGGTCTTATTTTTGTAATTTTGTAATATGCAAACTTTATTTAAAGTTGAGTACTTTTCAGAATGCGGTTTCGGTAGAGTTATAGTAGGATAGAGTGAGTTTGCCCTATCAAACGTTTTTTGAGTATTCGCTACACGACTCGAGTTACTTCGATAACTTGGTAACGAATTAAGATAGGTTTTGAAATCGAATGTATAGTCATTTTTTTCATCGCCTCTTTCGATTTGTAATGGCACACCGAACTTTTCAGAAGACTTTTTTTTACTAAATTCTTGTAAAAGCGTTGAAGATTCAATCATAAAATTTTTTGAATCTTCATGGTGATCTTGATTTTGAAACAAAAACGAGTCGAGAATTGTTTTCCTTATCCTTACTTCTTCTGAGTTCATGTTAAAAACCTCTCACAAAAGAAAACCAACTTTTTCTGAAAGGTTTTGTTTTGCGTTTTGTTCAGTCTGCATAGTTCACCTGCTAGTGAAAAGGCAGGTGTTTATTATTTTCTCGTAATTTTAAAAGTAGTTTTTATTAAAAAGCTGTGCACTGGAAACCTGTTAAACTTAAGTAAAAACTCAAAGATAAAAACTATTGTTTTGAAGATTATTTATTTTAAGTTGCATATGTTTATTCTATGGCATTGTTTGTTTAATTCATACCATAAATGATGTCTTAATCACCATTACATAAAAGAGTAAAATAGCAATTTATAAAAATAAAAAATAAAAACACTAACAAGTTTTTTTTCAATGACTATAAAGTCAGACGGAAAAACGGTAATGTTGATTAAGACTCATCAAACGTTGTTGTATTTATTATTTTTTAAGTATTTTTTTTTTGTTATTCTTTTTTTTTTCTTTTTTTTTTTTTCTTTATAACTTCTAAATATATTGTTATTATTTATTTTATTGAACAACTTTATTAAAAATAAATGAAAAAAGAAAATAAATAAATGTGTTAGGAGAAATAAAAAAAGTTTATAAATATTTAAAATATAAACATTGAAATAGTACAATATAAATATGATCATCCTTTGAACAACCAGTTTGCAGGTAGCATAAAATAACTCGTTGCGCTATTCTTTACTTTTTATTTTATTTGTTTGTAACGCGACGAAAATTAGTTTTAAAGCGTCGAGTGCTTCTCTTTTTTAGATAAATAAATATAATCTTTTTTTTCAATGTAACTTCTTTTTACAAAATTGTTAACGTGAAAAAACTGACTTGGACAAGCAGATTCTTATCATCGTGCCCCTTTAATTTCTTTCTTCTTAATTGACAGTTAATTTCTGTTATATTTTACAATCAAAATCAATAAAATATAAAATAAACACAAATTATAAGATATTTGTTGCACACACATATATATATATATATATATATATATATATATATATATATATATATATATATATATATATATATATATATATATATATGTATATATGTATATATATATATATATATATATATATATATATATATATATATATATATATATATATATATATATATATATATATATATATATATATATATAAACTCGTATAATTACAATAGTAAAGTCTTCATATTGAGTCAAGGCAAGATAGAGAATTCTAATAAATAAACGCAGAATCAAACAGTAAAAAATTACTGTAAATGATGAAAAAAATGTTTTTTTCCAAAAATAGAAACAATTTGTTTTATATAATTATATAATCTATTAAAACTTTACTTAAGCGCATTTTTTGTTATTAGTAACACGTTAAGATCACGATTAGTTCTACTGCTTTACGAGTTATATTATCGCAATAAAAACAAATAAAACCGTAGAGATATGAAAATTAGTTAAAAAAATTTATACAAAACGCGACCTTTACAAAAATATATACATGGTCTTAGAAACGATTCTACAAATAAAATGAGGGGAGGGGGGGGATGAATCCTTAAAAAAATACCGGCTTCGTAAAAAAAAAAACTCCAACTAGCCGACTAAATCATTAAAAAAAACCGACTATAACTTGAAAACCACATTTTTTGGGGGGAGGGGGTGTAACACCATTACCCCCTACTCTCCGTAAAATCGTCTCTGCATGGTCTTCATATATAATATTAATACATGTGTTTATATGAATAGTAAACTAAATTTATACAAACAAATATTAATTTATAATTTAAAAAGAAAAACAATAATATTTGTTTACTCAATTAATTTTCAATTTTTAAACTAATTTATAAAAATATTAATATATAAGTATTTATTGTACAACGGTTGCATTATGACGGTTGCACAACGGTTTTACAACGGTTGCACATTAGCGCCCCTTTTTGAACAAGTTTTAACATCTTTTTTTTTAATAAAGTTTTATTATCTTTTATTTTTTAAGTTATAGCTAGTTTCAAAAAGAAATTTAAGTAAAAAATAAATTTAAGAAAAAAAAATAAATTAAAGAAAAAATTTAAGAAAGAAAATTTAAAAAAGAAGTAAAATTTAAATAAGACATTGCACGTTTTCGATAAGATTTTTTTTTTAGGTAATTAAGCACATGAACAATACAACATGAACGATATATAACTGACTAAATTCTACGCTCAAAATGTTGCGTAGAATTTAATCATGGATATATGTCACATGTTCCAGGTGCTAGATGAGGTTTTTGTGATAAAATAAACCAGAAATTAAAACTCAATAATAGAGTACACTCAAATTGTTTACGAATTCTTAGCAATCTATTTACAACTTCAAATGTTTTAGCTATTTGGGTAAAAAAAATCAACATCAGGATCATCATTTTTATAGTTTAAAGACTTTTCTATCAATAGTGAGAAGATTAGCCTATAGTGAGAAGATTAGCCAATAGTGAGAAGATTAGCCAATAGTGAGAAGATTAGCCAATAGTGAGAAGATTAGCCAATAGTGAGAAGATTAGCCGATAGAAAGGTCAAAACGATCTTTAGAGCATATAATGATCTTTTATTCAAATCAATTTAAAAAAAAGGGCTGTGGTTAAAAAAATTGAAAAAAAGGGGTTTGGTCAATTTAATCAAATACTCGAAAGAGTGCAGTCTAAGAAAGAGGGCGTACAAAAAAGAAAAAAAAACAATGATTTGGTGAAAAAGTGCTTAGCGAAAAACTTAAAAAAGTGTTCAGAGGATTCAAATCTGACTTCGCGACAAATAGATGAATCACCACGTAATATGCTAAGACCAAGCATGCGACTATTGGAGTTTTTGCAAATCAAAAGATAATATCCATCAATACTAAGATCCGAAAATGAAACTGCCAAACTATTCTCACAAAGAACAAGTAGGCTTTGTAAATTTAGCATAAGATAAAATTCAAGGGATAAAAGTTACTTCAAAGACCATAAATGATTGTAAAGAACAGGTTTAAACAGGTGTTATTAATAAGACCAAATATAGTAAGACCAAGCCTCATATTCCAAGGCCAAGGCCAAAAGTTTCAAGGCCAAGGGCAATTCTAAGGCCAAGAAATTCAAGACCAAGGCCAAGGATAAGAGTTTTACGGCCAAGGTATACGTAAACGTTTTCAAAGCCAAAACATTAAGTTTTGGCCTAAAGGCATGGGTAATTTTAACAAAACTGCAGGTAGCAAGTGCTGTGACAAGAAAATATTTGTTATGGGATTGGACCTAGGTTATGTGCTGAAATTGATGTCAATAAAAATCAATAAAAAAAATATATTTGGAGATATATATAAACGCCAAAAACAAAACTACATAAAAATAAAGAACTAAAACTTTTAATTCTTTATATTTATGTATTTTAGTGCTTAATACTGACAACTTGGAAACCATATTTTTTGTTTAAGTGGTTCTTAAACATTTTAGTGGTTATAAACATTTTACCATTTTTTTATTATTTTAAATTTGCTCTTTGGAAATTTTTTACTTAGTTATTTTTCTTCGTTATTTTCTGTTTTAATTCTGATTTATGTTTTTATATAACAAATCCATTGCAAAGTTAGCACCCACTAAAGTTGCATCTCTTTATCGTGCTTGCCATTTTCTTACTCCTGATTCTATTCTTTATCTCTATAAATCTTTATACCGTCCTTGTGTGGAACACTGTTGCCATCTAAAACAGATGCTTTCTATGATGCTTTTTCTATTTTAATCAAGGTGCAAAAACGCATTGTAAACATAATTAGACCTGCTCTTGCACCTTCATTGTCACGTCGTCATCGTCAACGTCACGTCGTCGTAATATTGCTACTCTTTCTTTTTTCTATAAATACTACAATGAGCGTTGCTCTATATTTTGCAAAAATGCAATTTTGCAAAAAGGCACCTTGACTAAAATAGAGAAAAAAATTTGCAAAAAGACTTTTTTTTTTGTAGCGGACTCTTGAATCTGAGGTATAATACTATTTTTAGATGTCAAAGGGGTTTCTGGTATGGTTCTTGAGCAAGTCTTTTGTAGTTCAGGCACTAAATTATCAAAGAAAGATAATTAAACTATTGTTTTTTGGTTTAAAGTTTCATTTTATAAATAAAATTAATAAAAAAACTCATAAAAATAACTAAAAAATTTATGAACAGAATAAAATAAATTTGCATAAAAACAGTAAATAAATTAAAAAAAAAACTTTGTAATAAATTATAGTTTAAATATAGTAAAAATCAAAATCCATTTCAAGGTCTGTTTTTAATTTTAATAAAAATTAACATTTTTTAAAATTTTGAAATGTTTTAACTAATAAAATAACGTTAAAACAAATCATAAGACTTAGTATATAGGTGTAGTAAATTTCAGTTAGATTTTGTTACCAATTTATATATACTAATAAATAGGACCAAGGTCTTATTTATTGGTATATATATATATATAAAAAAAAAAAGACCAAGATCTTAATTATTGGTATATATACAAAAAAAAGACCAAGGTCAAGGACTAACAACTCTGGTTTAAACAAGTTGGTGACAGTAACAGTTTTCCATGGTCAACATATTTTAGTACTTTGTTCAAGTTTTCAATAATGTCGCTGAGGTTTAATTTTTACATATGAGTTCTAAACCTAAATAGAGAGCTATTTTCTGATGGTTTTCAATTTGTTTAAAGATGCTGGCTGTCAAAGGTTAAGTAATTGCAACCAAGATTAATATGATATCTTGGTATAATAGGCATTTTCCAATGTTTTTAAAAACATCCAGTATAATTTAGTTATTTAGTTTACTTCAATACTATAGTATGTGCTTTTAACAGTAGTGTAGTTTTTTTTATTTTCATAGCCTTAATATTTTGTGTACCGTAAGTTAATTTTCTCTGCAGAGCGATGGAATATCTTTATCACGCCAACAGTTTTTATCATACCAGCTGGTCCAAAATTTTTATTGATTTTTTTCTGCAGGCTTTAAATTAATGGCATCTTGATTATTGTCGCATATTTTACA